GGCTGGTGGCGAGCTGGAGAAAACACACAAGGCTGAACTTTTCATGGCTCTTCCCAGGGCTGGGAGCTCCCAAGCCAAGCTGCAAGCCTCCTAACCCTCTGAGAAGGCCAAAGCGGGGTGGAATGACAGCTCGACCCCATGCAGAGCAGTGCAAAGTGGGGTCCCCTGAATCCCACTCCTAGAACCAGGGTAGCGATGGACCTAACCAACGTCTGAGCTATCCAGAGGTGCTGGGTGTGTTTGGGTCCGAGGGGTTGGTTTGCCTCCTGTGAGAAAACAGCAAGCAGCAGCTGCAGGCCCCAAACCTGCCCCTGCACGAGCGGGTCCTGCACCGGGCTCTTGGCCTTTGGGGCCTGTCTCTGGTTTCGAGGCAGACTGAACCCAAAAGCTGAAAGGACAATGAGGACAAAGCCGGTGCGTCTCATCTGCTCCAATGTGTATCTGAACCACCCATTTGAGACTGGACCTAGGCTTGTCCTGAAGGTCTGTGAACATGCTGGAGTAGCTTGGGCAAAGGAGTGCGTGACATCAGGTGAAACAGCCCGTTTTCGTGTCAGGGCAGGGCTTCCCTGGGATCAGCGTGCCCGTTCCCTTGCTCTGGCACATGGCTTAGTACATCACGCTGCAACACGCCTGCTGGGCCGGAGGGGACCACTGGCATCACTGTCAAAGGCAAGTACTGTACGTCTATGGCTTGACACTCACCTTCTTTTACAGGTAATTATGCCCCAGGGCCAAGCAGAGGATGAGGAGACGGGGCTCCCAATTTCCATTCCCACTGCTGCTACCAGCTCCTTAGTTGTCTGGGGTAGGAAACACCTAAACCTCAGCAGCAAATCTGCCCATTCCCCGGATGCCTTGGAGGTACTCACCATCCCTGAAAATCAGGCCATTAACCTCCCAGCGACTCAGTTTCCTGGTGTGTAAAAGGGGTTATTCTATATTTTACTGGTAGGATTTTATTAATCTTTCTAAGGCACACCGAGGTCTTTGGGTGAGGACAGAGGTAACATGCCCTATCAATCCTGATCTGTTACATCATTATCTAATTAGCACAGTGATTTCAGAGGGACTACATAGAGCAAATGACACCCTTGTCAAGACCTCGCTGTCGGAGTTTGCTTTGAATTTATAGAGGAAATAGAAAATTATAGACCTTGCCTTGATTTTTTTTGGCATCTCCTCAACCTTCTGCCCCCTCTCCAACTCTTGAAGGACTTTCCCTGACAGACTGGTTCCTTTACCATGTAATTATGGGTTGCCTCTAGAAAACAGTCTAACGCTCCTTTAGAGCTGACGTGAGCTGATCCGACCAAAGCCAAGGGGTTTGTTTCATTCTTGAATTCCCATTCCCTGGTGCTGCCTTACGCTTGCCTTTAATTAAGGGAGATTATGTTTTCCTAAAAACAAAAAGTTTTAACCAAGGTTAGTGCAATGAAAGACCCTGGATGAACAGCCTTGAAGAGAGAGAGCCCTAGTTTATCCGCTGATTTTTCCAGCCCGAGCTATCTGCATGGGGGGGGGAACTTCAACTTACACACAATAATACCCTGCTTCAAGGACACCCGGGGTAGAGGGTAGTTCACTTCCAATTACAATTCTGCCTCTCTGCTGAGGTAGCCACCAGGCACACAGGCTTTTACACGTGGATGCTTATCTAGTGCGAAGGGGTTTGAGATCACCAGCTTGCCCCACTTGGGTCACTGAGTGGTCACCAGATGGTAGGAAACCAAGGGACCTGAATAGGAAGTCTAGGTCTGAATGATTGCAGCCACCCTGGCTGAGACGGTGGAGAATAGAGGTGTGTGGGTAGTAGAGCCTCCTGAGCCTGGAGACCATGGGGTATGAAGGGAGCAGCATGCCTCCAATTCTCTCTGGGCATGGGCATGTTAAGATCTGAGACGTGGCTGGGATGAGAAGAGCAGACCCAGTCTCACCCAGGGTTTCACACAACTACATGTCTAGCAAAACGTTTCTTCTTAATGTCTCTTATTGCACGGCGGTCACAGTAACAGCAGCACCTTGAGTGGAGGCGAGACGGGAGAAATCCCAAATGCCGTCATATTTGGCCCATCTCTGGTTTTCAGGTTTTAACGACGAGGTCATCCGTATTCAAATGAAGGCCAAACCCATTTGCATTATGCCCCCAGCTTTCTGGACTGTCTGCCTTATTAGGTAAGCATGTAAGCTAGTCTGTTATACGCAAATGTGCTCACGTACCTGCCTGCTTTGAGATGTACAGACCTATATGGAGAGAAAAGGAAACTCCACGAGTTCTGGGGGGCAGGGGAGTGACCATCCTTGTAATGGCGAGGGTGGGTGGAGAGAGGGGTATAGGTTCAATTGAGAGAGGTAGTTCACCATGTTAGTCTGAAGCTAGTCAGAAGACAGGGTATATATACACACTGTTAGAGACTAAATAAAATTATATCTAGCACAAGTTTTCATGAACCCATCACTCCATCAGATGCTGTAATAGAGGGCATTGAAGAGGAATACCTAGGACTTAATTTGGGAATAGGGCCAAGCTTGGAGGTAGGGATCATGCCTCGTTTCCTCTCTGAATTTGTTTTCAGGTTGGTTTTGCTCTGATTCACGAGTACACCTGGCATGTGCGTAATCACCTCCCTTCACCATCTCTCTGAACCTTTGTTTCCTTCCCTTCCCTTCCTCCTGTGTCGCCTTCTAACATGCTTCACTCTTGGGTCCTTGCATTGCCCATTCCTCCACTGACAAACAGCCATTTCCTCACCTTCACCCCCACCCCTGTCTTTTTTTTTTTAAATCTATTGGGGGGGAAAACAGAAGTTGTTTTAATTTAATTTAATTTAATTTAATTTAATTCAATTCAATTCTACCAGTTTGCCCTTTGGTACAGACGTCACCAGTGGCGTGACTCTGGGCTATTTAATAATAACTCTGGGCTATTGTCACGGCTGTACGTGCTGCTGTAAATCTTGCACGAGTAATTCACACATTTTTATGGCTCAGGCTTTGAATTCTTCTAAAATTGTATCCGTGAAGTGGTGAATCCTGATGATTTCTTTAGACATCCAGTAGAAACGGGACCTTCATAAAACCACAGAAGATTCATTTCTGTCTCTCAGTCGGTGATTTTGCTCCCCAGCTCTTTAATAACAAGAGCATTGGCACAAACATACAAAATGATGTACGGCACAGTTTTGTCTGCTTTGTATTCCTGACCAAATTCTTTTTCGGGTAACGAACTGAGACATCAACTGAAGATTAAGATTTTCGATGGGGGAATATGATACAGGTAGTCATTGAAGAACACATGAAATAACCATTAAGCAACGGAGATCCCGCAGAGCCACTCGAATCCCCCCAGTATTGGAGAAAAACAATACATCAAATGTCACAGAGGAGCACAACCGCTGGTGGGAAGTCGGGACAAAGCGGCAGCCCCCGCGCGTCGAATGCATCTGCGGGTGTCCGGGGAGCTTCTCCGCTGGCAGCCGAGGGAGATAGGGAGCTGGTGATGGCCGAGTTTTTTTATCTAGGCAACTGCTGCGAATAGAGGTGCCGAGCGCGCGCACCCGAAATGTGTCGCACTTCCCACACGTCCATCCTCTTAGGGCTCCCCGAAAAATAAAAGTTGGCGCCCACGGCTGTGCGCTGCACCTGCGGCAAAGCGACACCTGTGAAGCTTTAAGCAGCCGGGGATGTGCATTTTTCCAAGAGCCATTTCCAAGCAAGAGCAGGTCGGAGAGGAAGGAAGCCTTCGCCACCCAGCAACGCTCGCTTCGTATTGCTACCCGGGACGCGTGTCTGACCCACGCAGGCTACGCGGGCGTCTCGCTCCCGCGCCCAAGAGCTACATGTCGTCGAGGAAAGACCTCGCGCGTCCCCAATGCCCAGACCAACTGTGTCCACACTGCACTGCCAGCCTCCTGCCCCCTGTGCTTTCCCCTTGCCCTGGGGGAAAAACAGCAGGGGAGTGAAGGCAAGAGAGAGCCAGGAGGGGTTTCCAACACCCCCCAGGATGCTTGGGGTGGCAGCCCAGGATTTCCCACCCAGCCGGCAGGGGTAGGGGTAGGGGGCGCCCCCTAGTGCCTGCCCCGCGCGCTGCGCGCCCACCACGTGGACCTGCCGCCCCTGACAACCTAGCTATTTACTCGCGCGGCGGCCAATGGGCGGGCGGGAGGCGCCGCTCGGGGCCGCCGGCGGCCCATGGGCGGGTGGGGCGGGGCACGGC